ATTTTCTCCACTATTGACTTTCTTCTAATTTTTGAAACCTTTTTCAATAAATGCATTTGAACCTAGACGATTTGAGGTGTTCTTACCAAAATGGTAGCATGGCAAATAAAATATAGCATCTTTGTCACAAGAATACTCCAACCAAGAAAGATATAATTCAAACCAAGAAGCTTGAAAACGACGAGGATGATCATCATTTGATAGAGGATACGTCTTAAGAATGGGTTGACATGGCTCATGTTTGAGATAAGCACGATGAATTTCATCCCTTTGATTGATAAGAAATTTTCATATTATTGGTCATAATGCAGGATCAGGTTCTATATTAAAAACAATCAATTTCTTCAAGATTGAGCCTTTGACATTTTGATTAACACTGCTCTTGTTTATGAGTTGAAGTATTAAGGTTTGGTGGCTCAAGTGTAAGAGAATCATTTGAGCGATCTACCTCTTTTTAAAAAAAAAAATTGTCAATTGTTTTCAACTTACTCATATTTTAATCAAACTTGAAAAAAAAATAATGTAGTCAACATTCAATATTCTTATTTATTTATATTTAAACTTAAAAAATAAAACATAAAACTATAAAAAATAAAATATAAATAATTAAATATGAAATACAAGATTTCACATAATAGTTAAATAATATAAATAGAAAGAAGAAGGTAAAAGAAAACTTTACCTCTTTTTAATTTTACACAATAGTGATGAGTGATTTCTGTCTTTCCATTTTTAAACTCACAAGTTCATAAATCTCTTTTGAAAAATAAAGTGTGTTTCTATGGTGAGTTACTAGAAAAAAAGAAATAAAAACAAATAGACAAAAAAGAGAAGAGAAAAAGAAAAAAAAAAAGAGGTGGAGAGAAATTTAACTTAAGATAACATTAAGTAAATTTATAAGATTTTTTTATTTTTTTATTTATATTAATTATTAAATAAAAAATTTATTTTGAATGAGTTATTAATAATATATAATAAATAAAAAATTTTAAAATCTTTTTAAAAAATTATTAATAAAATATATATATATAATAAATATTTTTAAAAATTTTAGGGGCCCATGCCCTCCCATTGTTGGCTCTGCCCCTGCCTCGAGATGTGTTTCCAACCTTCTACCATACCAGCGAAAGGACAGCACACTGCTAATGGATCCCACTACATTGGGGCCACCCACTTTGATGGCATCACTGTCTTCATAAAATCTCTCTTTTGAAGATTCAAAGATTTCACAAAAGATGTGAAAAGCGAAATCATGTAAATAATAATTTTATTTTTTTTATAAAAAACGGTTATATATATAAAGAAAAAATGAGTAACACAGATTATGATGTGGGTAATATAAAATTAAGAAAAATTATTAAATAGATTTTTTTGCCATTTAACTATATATCCAACAAATAAACATATGAAACATGTAAACAAACTTGTCATACGAAGCATGTATGAACCCACTACAATTACCAAATGGTTTGATAACTTCTTATTGTTAATAATTTAAAAAGGAAATTACCAAATGGAACCATGACAAACACCAACAATCCTATGATTTAAATGATTTTAAATAATGCAAAGGCAGTCAAATCATCAAATCTATGTAAACATGGAAATCATCAATGTGTTTTTTTTTTGTAATTTTATTTTTACCTTAGCCAATTATTACAATTAAGATGAAAAATATTATGATGAATAATAATTCAAGTTAATCCAATTGATGTTATTCTCAAAAAGAATTGAAATCCAAAATTTGAATCTTTACTTGTTTTTTATATTTTGACATAATATCTAAAATATCCTTAAACTATTAAGAAAATTTTAAATAAGTCTTTATACTTTAATTTTGAATCAACTAAACTTTTATGATTAATTATTAATTTAATCAAAATATTATTTATCATTCTATGTCACGTGATGCTAACATAACATACTAACATATTATAATTGACGATGATATGGCACGTTGATTTATTATAATTGATGATAATGTGATCTATTAATTTCATATGATAACATGATCATATGACGTTTTTCATTCTCCACATCAATCCCATATCAATGACATGTGGATATAAAATAACAAGTGGCTTTTTGACTAATGATATTTATTCAATCATTAGTTATAAAAGTTTGTTTAACTTAAAATAAAAATACTAAAACTTGATTGAATGTAATAAAATAATAACAATTTATTTAAAATTTTTTAAATAATTTAAGAATTTTTTTAAATATTATACTTTATATTTTCTTAAAAAATAAAATAAAATGTCATTATCTATTAAGAGCTCACATTAAAGCACCCATAAATAGATTTATCCTACAAATGCCGGCATAGGCCTTAAATGGTAATAATTAACCGTGGCGATAATTCTAAGAGAAGTGCTTTACATCAACGTTGTTAAGGTTTAATGTCCACGTGACGTCCGCACGACGGCGTCGGCTGTGCGTACACAAATCTTGGCTGCAGCCCATGAAACAAGTACAGTATTGATAAATATTGATTAAGATTAGTTAAATTATTATTTTTTAAAAAGAAATTATTAAATTTAAGAAGAAATTTAAAAAAAAACAAGAAAGAAAGAGTTATAATTGATTTTAAATGAACAAATAATTGAAATGTAAGTATTTATCACATGATTAACCCATATTAAAAT